TATATTTTGGTATTTAGAAGTACGCACTCTTATCTAAATACAATGAAGAATAACCCGCAATTTTTTTTTTATTCATTAATTTTTTTATTTATTTAATTTTTTGTTTTGGTTTTTTTTCCGTATTGGAAGTGAACAACTTTAGGCAACTCATTTTGAGTTAATTGTTTTTCTAGTTGATGAAAATGCACGTCAGTTGGAATACCTAACTAGTCTTAAGCTAATTAAAGAACTAACTCATTTTGTATGCATATTTTTGGGTGTTAATTGTTTTTAAGTATTATTTTATAAAGAGAATATTTTCTTGAAATTCTTGAAGTCTGCCATAAAGCAAAAGCTAGGTTAACTTGATGAAACGTTAAAATAACAGTAAGATTATTCCATTTGAATCAACGATAAATTAAATGAAGCTGAAATTGATTTGGAACTCATACCCTTTGTATATTTATTTTGTGATATATATTTATTCTATTTTTATTTTTATTTTTATTATTTTTCGACACGAATGCAGCACATGCCACTAATGTTCCTTGTCATAAGCAAGACTTTCGATAATTATAATTCTGTTTTTTTTTTTCTTTCATCTTTTTTTTGCCTGTCAAATTGTCGTTGTCATACAAATTAATGCCCAAAAAGGGAAAAAACAAAATACACAGTGAAGTGTGTGCAAATGTTATGCACAGGCACAGGCACAGGCACAGGCACATGGACACCAACAGATACCCTAATGTGGCTGCAACCTGTTTGCACATGACAATGTGTTGCAACTGTTTTGATTTGGTGTTGCCGAAAAACGAGTTACCGAACACATTTCAAGTTCAAAAGTGCAATTACATGCAACATGTGGCAAAGTAGCTGCCCAGCTAAATGGAGCAAATCAATGCGCGACTTGATCATGGGAAATGGGGGCAAGTAGCAGACGCATTTTATAAGTATAGACCCCTATGAAGGTCTTGCTGTCTCAACTGATAAAGAGATAATGTGGCTACAATGAAATTTATTAAAAAAAAAACACACACACCCGCAAAATATATACGTTTATATGTATGAATATAGAATGAAAGAGTAAATGTGATAGCAACAAAAACACAGACTGTGTCTGTCTAATTGTCTGACTGGCGGACTGGCTGACTGACTAGCTGAGCAGTCAGCCCGTACATGCTATATAAGGCAATGCCAATGATATCATCACAGACACACTCACACACACGCACATGCATACTGACTGAGAGGCAGAGCCAACCGCAGATACTTAAGTATCTCAACTGGCGTGGCGCAGGCATTATTTTTGTATTCCACTCTTTCCACTGCAAATGTTGATAATTTGAAGCATGAAATGCAGAAATACCGCGCATACACACACATCAACACACACACACACATATAAGTTCAAGTTTGACATACAGGATCCCATTCAAGGCCCCAACAACAAGTAAATACAAAACGAGACGCAAAATCGCAAACAAGTTTCGCTTTTATTTAGTGCCCCGAGCAGCGCCAAGTTGCAGATTCCACATGCAACTGTGTGTGTGTGTGTATAAGCATGCCCATATACATACAACACATATATAGAGTGTATATATAAGCTATATACAGCGTCCCGTCGTTACGTGCCGCAGCATTAAAATGGAACAACTTATGTACGTGAACATGGATGGGCTTGTTCCCTGCACCAGTCCCAGACCCAGACGCAGACACAGTCCAGGGCCCAGGCCCGGTTCATCGTCGGCACTTAATGCTCCACTGATTGCACAACGATCGCACGCTGCTGCGCAAACGCAAACAGCAACCGTCCCCGGCAGAGCGACCATAAAAGGGCGCTCTGCACCAGAATTGCAAACATTCAGACGTTCAGATACAATTGTATCTGCATCTGTATATGTTGCTGCTGCAGCGCGTCATAGTAGCCCAGTGCCCAGTCGATGCCCGTTGTCGGTGTTGGAGTCGATATCGGTGTCGGTGTCAGTAGGTAGACTCATGCATGCATGCACACACACACATCTATGTGTGTCAGCCACAAGGAGCTGAAATTAAAGTAAGGCAGGAGGTTTGTTGTGCCAACCATATGTTTTTAGCTTTCGATTCGCATGTATCTGCTAGATACTTGTTGCACTCTTTGCACAATAGCCATTTAATTATTTACACCGAGCCCTCTCCCACTCTCCTTCTCTCTCTCTCTCTCTCTCTCTCTCTTTGTTGTCGGCAGGAGTGGGCGGGCTGCGTTGGCGGGGACGGGTTTACGGCAGAGTAAGCCCAAAACACGCAGATTAAAAACTGATTTCCCAGCAAGGATCGCTTGATTAATCGCAAATCGTGCGCACACAATCGTTCAGAGATCACGTTTCTCTCGTCAGCACTGGACTCTGGCCAGCAGCATCAGCAGCAGCTACTTTGGAGTCTTTAAAAATAGTCGGCACGCTCGTTGTGGCAGGGTCTCAGATAGACAGACACAGATATGAGTTAAGATCCAGTCAAGGCAGTCAATTCATCAATGCTGAACGGCCGTCCGTCGAAGCACGGAAATAGCTAAAGTCTATCGTAGCATTCTAAATTCTTCATGTCCCTCAGAACAGACAGACAGATAATATTCCATTTATATAGAAACTCTAGAATAAAGTGAAGCACTTATATAACGATTCTATAAAAATCTAAAGAGCAACAATAATACAGATAATTCAGGCAACTCTTTTGCCTAGATATTTTATAAATCAGTATGTGTATCGATAACAATAAGAATAATGCAAGAATAAGGACAATTATTACATCAGTCATAGCCTATGTTAAATGAATATTGATAATATTTTAACATATATAGTTTTGAAAGATATGTTCTGGATTGTTTCACTTAGGCAAACAATTTTATTTTGAATTGCTGCACAAATTAAAACTCAATAATAAATTAGTGTATGGTATGTATATCTCAGATAAATTCAGATTCTTTGTTGTGATATATCGAAATTCCAATTGCTTTTATGAAAGACGTACTTGTGCTTATCAAATAGGAATTCAAGACGAAAAACAAAAAACCTCTGACACCCTCAAAAATATTATGTGATATTTGGGCTGTTTTGCCCTAAGCAAACATAACATGTGTTTTATTATGCTCGCCCTTGGAGTGTATAGAGTATATTGGCTTTGTGCAATAGCTGTCTGCATGAGACTTTAACGTAAAATATATAAAGTGAATATCTGGTAGTCATCTCTACAATTCGAGTTAACATTTTATACCATTATTTAGTGATAAATCAATAGGCTGAATATCGTCCATAGATAGATGATCACAGAGATTTTCGGATGAATTACAAAAGTTTTGTTCACTGAGTTGTTGTAAATACAAACGCATCGAATTTGATCATGCAGCTCGATTTAAAAATGAACGAGTATTACCCAGTCAGTCGCAGCCTGTCATACTTGTTTCTTTCAACAAGATGCCAGGGCAATGGGGTTGCCGTTGTAGAAGTTTGGCGTCCAATTTCCAATTTCTTGTCATGTTGTTTCTACTGCCAGCAGTTGTGGTTCATTTGGCAAGCGCTATAAATTACAGAATCATTAAAGAAACAAAAAAGAAAAAAACACACACACGCACCATGGCCACATAGAGAAAACACATATTTAGTGGCGTAATTTTAAGCAAATAAACAAAATTCATTTTTGGCCGAATGAAAAGAATTATTTGTTTAGGCAGCCGCCAGTATCTCATAAGGGCATATTCCTTATGCTAATTGCGACTTGACTTTAAAGGTATCATAATTTCAGCTTTGCCATAAATCACGTATATTAATATAAATCCAAAATTATGATCATACCATGCTGACAGCATCGACCTTTTAACCCTTTGCGACAGTTCAACTCTTTTCTTTTTTTTTTTTTTTTTTTTGGCTGACTTTCTAATTAAGCGACAAAAGGAGAGGGCAACTGGAAAAAATACCCAAAATATGTACAGCTTTTTATTTTGATAAATTACTTTTTGTATATGAAAAGAAAAAATAAATAAGAAAATAAAAATACAAGGTACTTGGTGTGGTATACACAGCTTGAAGATACTACTGCTTTTCTACATCAACATTTACTTGCAAATATAAATAAACGAGTATTTTAAACCACTGAAATACAGCTTTGTCCGCCAAATTTACTTCCCTAAAAATATTTATCGATTTATTTTAAGAAAAATATCTGTTACTCTTTATTAACTAAATAAACATATAAACATATGTTGGATAAAAATATAGTATTAACATAATAATAATTATTTTAACCTTTGAGCTCCACTTATTATAAAAATCCAATGCTGTTAATTCGTAATAATCGATTTTTATCGAAAATGCATATAATATCTTATTGGAAAATTTCGATACATTTTCTTCGTAGTTAACCGATCTGTCATGCATCGATATTGTAAAGTATCCAAGTCTAAATGTTTATTCATAATACCCATAGCTCGCCATAATATAGGGTATGTATATACCTTTAAAAAAAATGTATACAAACAGTATGAACAGGCGGCATGATGTACGATACCCTGGGGAACATTTTGTGCCCCAATCGCGGGACAAATTGCTAACAAAAGCACAAAAATGCAAATCAAAATGACAAAAGCAATTAAATTTAACCCATTTTCAATACAACAAAAAAACTGAAGTCCAAAAACGTACGGCAAAAAAATGAAAATCGAAAAGAAAACTTGACTTTTTGTGGTTATTTCATGTGGAAAATGTACTGCATCACGCGGCTCAAAAGGGCGCGAAGCGAAGCGGTTGCCAACAGTTGCAGTCGAAAGCCAAATACGAAGAAGAAGATGAAAAACACTGACAAAGGGTAAAGGACGATAGCTAAGGGGGCGCTTTTAATTATTGGCGCCTGCATGTGTCTCAATTTAAATTAGCTGCGCGCTGCTCAGCACAAAATTAAAATTCAATTTAAAAATGCCACGAAAAATAGAAAAAAAAAAAAATAACAAAACAAAAAAAATACAAAAACATAAATAAATAAAAAAGAAAAAATCGTATAACAAAAGTGAACTAATTTGCTTAGACCCAAAAGGGGTGTAAAGGCTGGCCAGGCAACCCTTTTGAAGTTACGGAAATTAGTTTTAGAATTATTACATTAAAAAAAGAAGCAAATAAGAGAAGCAGAAGAAGAATCAGCAGCAACAGCAGCACAATTCGCACAGGCGGCGCATTTCACGCGCTTTTCAATTGCCATAAAGATGATTTATGATTATCACATTTAATAAGCAGAATCTATATTTTTTTTTTGTAATTCCCGGCAAATGGCCAGTTAGCTGTTTAGTCGGAAACATCTGTCTCGGCCGCCACAATTAACACATTATATGCCATGAGGCATTCAACACTTGGAGCCCACATCAATCGCTGCACGAGAGAAGAGAAAAAACTGTTTTGCGATCCTCAATGACATTGAAATGTGCACTTGGCATGCCGACTGGTGGGCGAGGGGTGGTGGTGCCCCGGGGTCGTTGGTGCTGGTGCTGGTTGCTTGGCAAAGCCTTGAAACTAAAAAGAAGAATGGTAGGGGGACAGCCGTTTAGCCAGTCGCGGGATCAACTTGAAAGCGGCGTACAAAAGTAAACAATAAAAGAGCTGGCTGGAGCTGCTGCTATACCCTGTTCGGCAAACGACAGTGATGGGTATATATGACAGCTAAATACTATATTGTTGCATTAACTGAAAGCTGTTAGAGTTATCGCTCACTGATTAAAATAGTAATGTCCATAGGCCTCTTAAGAATCGACTTTTTACCGAAGCAAAATCATTGAAAAATTTGAATCAATTTGTAGTCTAAAAATCACACAGAATCCATAATTATTATCTAATTGAGTTTGACAACTATATCGAAAGACAGCATTTTCAGTCACATAAAAACTATATTTTTCTTTGCAATTAGCAATCAACCTACCTAAGTTGAATGCTTGAAGTTCAGGAGAGCATTGCGGAGTCGCTTATACCCGGTCGCTATGTAGTGTGCTTGGTGTTTCTGAAGTTGTTCTGCTGAGATGCTGCTAGCCAGAACAAACATTGTTAGCGCTAAATGCGCCTCAACAACGTTTTCGTTTTCTGTGGCAACATTTTGCGCTCTCCGGCCCGCAGTTGCCTGGCTGCAACTCAGGCAAAGCCTGAAACAATATTTACACGTCGAGCACGAAGTTGCAACTTGAATGTGGCCATGGATTTGACTGTTGTTGTTGTTGTTGCTGGGTGTTGCTTGGTGTCGACAGATTCGCCCGGATATAAAATTATAAAAACAAGAAACATTCCGTCTGCGCCGTGAGACCTGCCACACTCGATGTTGCACTTGGGCTGACCTTGGACTGTATGCACTAAACCAATCTACCTCCAACTAATAGCCAATACTCCCTACTCTCCTCATTCACTCTCTTTCTATCTTTCTTTCTCTATCTCCGTCATTCTGTCGATCTCTCTCTCGCTCTCTCCGTCAGTCTCTCCCACTATCTAACTCCCTCCTAATCAAGTAGTCTAAAGCAGTTTTACTTATTACAAGTCCCAGTATGCCTTGATTTGGTCACAAGAAACTTCATACATATTGTAGTTTGCTTTCGTCTTATTTACTATTCAACATTCGAGCATCGTAGTATATTTAGCCAACGTAAAAAAAATACAAAATTCTCAGCAGTTAAATTTACAACAAAATTATATAATGTGTAATGATGGATCGTGTACACTTCGTTGTAAAGCCTTATTTTTGGCGGGTTGGTCGCTAGGCCATGGACTTCTGAATCTGATCTTTTACCTTCATCAATATCGTATGTTAATTGACAATTTTTTTGTTTGTTTTTTTTTTTTTTTGTTCTAATAATATAATTTTTATAAACAGAAACTTCTCTTGGTTTATGGTTTATGGGCTCTGGTTATTTTATAGCCATCGCAGCATTTAGTGTCCTCTCCGTAGTAGGTGGTATATTAATGTTGGTCGCAATCTTCAAGGTATGTACTCAGTCATATAATATAATAAGCAAGCGATATTTATATTCACTTTAAAGGATATTAAATGGCTATTTTTATTGGGACTAGTGTTAAGCTGGGGTCTCCCGGTCGTTATCTGCTATTTCATTTATCCACTTGGTAAGTTTCGTAAGATTTTAATTGTATGAATTGGAATATTAAATTGCTATTTCTTTTTAGTCATACACATTATTTTTACTATATGTGCTTGTCGGTACTATAAAGAAATGTGATGAAAAAAAAACAAATGAAAAATTTCTGTAATCAACTGTCCATGTTCTGACGAAAAGGGAAATTGTAAAGTAAATTGCACAATGATAACGGAATTCAGCTATTGTATTTATCCTGGGGGCCTGGACCGCATTGAATACCAACAACAACAAAAATAGAAATCTCTTGCCGGCAGCTCACAGCTTATAAATAGTTGCAGCATAATCAATTTATGGATCGACTATAAAATTCGATCTGCAGCTGTGAACTAAAACTCGATTGCAAACACAAGGCGTTGGCCTTCAAGCTGCTGTAAACGCTTGAGTGACTCTTCTATTTTGCTCGATCCTCGGCATAAGAATTGGTTTCTCCATTAAGGCGTTTTTCTTTGCTATCGGCTGGGCACTATTTCTAAAAAGTTAGGAAAGTATTGAAATTAAATAAAACGTTGTATGTGAGTTCAATACTAAATGTTTTTGGGCTTTAGTGTGAACAGTATAGATATTACTAGGACAAGGGGATTTTAGTAGGTCATATTTGTATAAGAAATAAAATAAAACGAAACAACTGGTAAACTGCTTAGCTCTAACGGTCGATATTCATGAAATGTGGGCGTCGACGACTGAGCCCAGACTCGAATTTGATGGCCAACTGAAGCCGACTGGGCCAGTTCCTATAATCTCTCATTGTCAGATTTGGATTGGATGCGGTGATACGTGTGACCTTAATCTGTATTGACATGTTTCACAAATTATATAATGCAGTTGTCGTCGGCATTCGTGAGGCGCAGTTGATGGGCTTGTCTTACCTAATGATATGACATCAATTGAAGCTCTTCAATCTGATATATACTATTCGGCCCAACGAGCATACTTTAATCCAATTGAGCTATACATATACCTATTCTATACACCATTTATGCAGCTTGTCTACGATCTACTCAGCCACATTCTCTATTTTGTACAGATGGACAATATGATTCAAGCGTTCTTCAAAGCCAAAAAGATATACATATATCTGATATTTTCAATGTACTCACTTCCTTTGTCGTGTCTTTCTGCAAATTATCAACAACTTTAGGCTGACAACTGCTGCAGAATGCATTTCAAGTGCACTTCACTTGATGACAAATGTCGTCAAGGTAAAAATGAATAAAAATAAAGATGAGCCACAAACGACATAACTTATAACACATATTGTAAAATATATACAATATATGTTACATACGTGCACTTAGGGCAGGTGCAGATACATACACACAGCAAGAGACACACATGCACACATGTCCGTATATAAGTACTTGATCTAGGCTCATGCGTACAAAGAACTAGCATTGGAATCCAATAAGAGGGGCTCCAATTGGAACGCGTAAAAGCTGGAAATACATATTTGCAATTGGAATTTGGAATTGACATCGAATTTTTACATTTTTATTTTTTCTCACATTTTTTGCAAAATTTATTTATATTTATATTTTTTACAAAAATAAAAAGGTATAATACAGTATTGGTTAAGTATAGCAAAATATTGTTATATATTTAAGTTAGTTGTACAGTAGTATATATATATTATCTATTTTTTGATATTGTGACTTATTGCGTAAAGTGCACGTATAAACGAATGAATGTACGCGTGTGTGTGTAATTAGCAAGAACGGCGCAGAGATGCGAATTGTCTGTATGGACTGTGGGGGCAACGCTGCACGATTTAACGAGCTGCGACTGCAACTGCAACAGCAACAGCAACAACAACGTTTGCCGTCAAAGGCTTTCAGCTTACAGTGCGCCCCCATGCGGCGAGCGGGGCAGCAGAAACCCCACACATATGCATTTGGAAGAATTATGAGGCGTTGGCAACGCACTTTTGGCTAAAGGAGCCCGGTTGGCGGCACCACAGCCAGGCCCCCGCCATGCCCCCGCCATGCCCCCGTGCAGCCCTCTCATAGTCGCTTGGCCTCTTGAGCAGACATGCAGCGCATGCAACGTAGCGTTTCAATTTATGCGAAGTGATTCGTCATGCGGTTAACTTTAGAATCCGCACACAAACAGAAACACACACAATCGCACACACACACACTTGTATTGGTGTTGTTTCAGTCTGCTGCAAGCTGCAGCTGTGTGGCATTTGCATATACATACATACACACATACATACATACATATATGAATTTGCCAGGGCAGGGGCATTGAAACCTAGACGATTGCCAAGTCCAAGGCAACGCCTTGCCTCAGGGCGAGGTGGGCGTTGGGTAGTTTGGGTGTGGCTGCTGTTTGTTATACCCTCTAAGCCTATTGAATGTGTTCAAGAAAAAAAGTGGGGTATGCCTCTTATAATGCTAACTGCTAAATTTATGTCACCGTCCGAAAAAAGCCTCAGAGCGACGAGAGCTTAATTCATTCACAGCTTCTACAAAATCTGAAGACTTAATTCAAAATTGATTAAGATTCGAGAGAAATAAAAGTTAGTTTTATAGAGATGAGAGTTTTAGCATGAACGTAAATCGTATAATTAGAACCAAAGCTATGATCATATATCATAGACATTGTGTGTGTATGTGTGTGTGTGTGTGTGTGTATGTATGTCCTACACGAAAGCTATAACGCTCAACAGCAGTTCTTGGCAGGGTATTCACTAGCCGAGCACAGCCGCTGCTGCTGCTGCTTGTTGTTGTTGTTGTTGCTTTTGCTGTTGTTGCAACAGCTCAATTGACAACGTTGACTCTGACGTTTCTTATGCTCCGTTTTGTTGCACGTTTGACCATGAAAGTCGAGAGAGAGAGAGAGAGAGAGAGAGAGAGAAAGAGAGGCAACGAGCGAGAGAGACGTTAATGGCTAATGAAATGTTTGTTGTTTGTTGTCTTGTTATTAGCTAAAAGCTGGATGGGGGCTAGGCCACGACCGCTCTGGACCAAGCCCCATCAACGCACAATTGTTGTCAAATGTTGCACGTCCAGATAAATTTGTGTTGCACGCATTGCAGTCGAACCAAGCCAAGCTGAGCCGAGCTGGGCTGGGCCTGTTCCCTGACTGATAAGCCAAGTGGTGCTAATGAAGTTGTTCGCTCGCATTGTTTGCCTTCACTTCCATTTAGCCAGCTAACAGATTATGGGCCATTCAACCTACAAACATATAGCAGCATTTTAGGAGCCATTCGTATTACCTAACTAATTAACGATATTTTCTTGAAAACAGTTTGTAAACATGGTTTCACTTTGATTGCAAATAAATAATAATATGTGACAATCTAAACCAGAGTATTTGTGTAAATTCTTGAAAAAAAATTATTATTGACGATGCAGGAAAGATATATCTGTATAAAAATTTCTATATGGCTGTCAGCTAGGACTTGGAAAATAAATGAATTAAAAATACTTAAAGTAAGACAGACAGAAAGAGAAAAACAGATGCAATGGGAGAAACAGAGATAGAGAGAAAAAAATAAAAGAAAAATGAAACAAAATTTTCTATATTTTTAGAGATAGACAACATTACAATGTATATATTTTTCTCTTACTATGTAATTTCCATGAGTTCATATAAGATTTTGCTGCATTTTTCTGGGTCCTTAGAAGACAGATTCATCTCTTATATGAACTCTTGAAAATCGCATAGTAAGGCGAACATATCAAATAAAGCATGAAAAGCTAAATTGTAAAAATCGGACTAAATTCGGCTGGAAACAATAGAGCTCTGGTTACATCACAAAAAAAAAGGTCACAAACCTTTTGTGGAGCAAGCAAAAACTGAACTGAAAGGCGGCACTTTGATTTCGTTAAGCTATACAAAATTCGACAACTATAAAAAAGAAATGAAAAAAAAATAAGAAGAAATTAATAAATTCTCATAAAAATGCCCACGAAATAGGCTCAGCACATGAGATTTCCGATATTGCGCGATGGGCAGCTGAGAGAGCTGAGGCGGATTCTTGGCCATAGGCCACGAACTGAGTCACAGTCGGAGGCGAAGCTCTCAAAAAGCGGACCATTTTAATTTTGTTAATTTACCACAATGTTTGGATGGCGCAGTTTGCCTAGTTTTTAATAGGCAGCTGCTGCTACGGCTGCTTCTGCTGCTGGTTGGGGGAAGCTGAAGATCTATAGGTCTAGCGAGGGCGACAATAAAACAGAATTTTCTCATGCTCGATGCCCCAAGAGCAAATTGTTTACACACAACGCTGGCGACGCTTTCTTTAGCAGATTTTGATTTCAATTGTGGTTTTTCATTGTTGTTGCCAGGCGCTTTAATACCCTAAGCGAAATGCAGAGAGAGCATATTGGACTAAAGGGATACACAATGAGATTTCTTAAATATATATTTATTATGTTAAACTTCTAATAAATTGGCTTGTAAAAACAGTTTAATTTGTTTTCTAATTTTACCAAACTTTACCTAGAATTATAAAATGAATGATTTTTGTAGATATAAGCAAGCTATAGATATAGATAGATATAGATATATATAAATTTCCATTGAATATTATTAAAGTACTAAAACTCCCTATAATTCTAATTGATTCTATTTAACTTACTTGTTCAAAGTTCCTGAAACTAGGTATCAGAAAAATTTAATAAATCATAACCTGTACAATGCTACTAGAACTTTAAATATATCTATGCTTATCTTTAAAAATGAAAAGTGAAACTAACTTAAAGATTTCCATGCATGTAGATAAGTCTTGCGGAAACTCTATCACTGGTTTACAGGGTATCTTTAACATTGTTTTTATTATCAGCAACGGCAATGCTTGCGGACTTGTGTATGTCATTTAGCAGCTGAATGATTTATGCCCCAAAATTTCAGTTCAGTTCGTTTCGTTTCGTTTCGCTTTGTTTCGTACACTTCAATATGAATGCCAAATGCGTAGTTACGCATATTGAACGATGATCCACAGACACACACACACACGCACACGCACACGCACATTCATAGATATACCCTGTCAATAGGCAGATACAAATCGTCGAGCACTGCCATTGGCCACTGGGACACACTCAGCGAACTCCAGACAACAGCTATTTTGATGCTCGCTCACCATATGAGACGAGCGTTTTTTTTTTTTTTCAAATATTGTATTTTAATCTAAATTTGTGAAATTGAGATTACATACTTGATGCTTCTAAAGTGTAGACTTATGCTTTGCCCATGGATGATTGTCAATTGGATATAAATGTGAAACATTAAATTCTATATTTACAAAAACAGCTGAAAGAAACATCAGAAAGATGGATAATTTCGATCAAATTATATTGAGATAATATAATACTCCATCGATTTAAAATTAAATTATATCTATATTATATAACATATTTCTATTTATTTATTGGATTGTTAATCTGTTGATCTAGTCCACAGATAGATCTGTGAATAATATTATTTAAATCATTGTAGACTTACATACTTATTTACATAACAACCGAAACAACCAAATTCATCGATTATTTTCAATAGTATTAAAGTAGAAAAAC